ATTCTAAACTTGTTTTTGGATGAAACGTGTATGAAATCTGATTAATAAGTGTATGCATCCGACTTTAATGTTTGATTGTTGGATATTGTATGAATTGTGATATAATATTGGTATACAAATGGTATGCATTGTGTGATTATATGAAATTATGAATGTTTATACGAAATTGATGAATGTTTATATGTAAATTGATTTATTGTTGGTATAATATGTGTGATATAAATTGAAGTTAGTGTTGGAATGAAACTTGAACAAGATTGGTAAAATTTTTGTTTTAATTTTATTTATAGTAAGACACCAGTTAGAAACCAAATTAATATTCACGATAACTTACATTAAATATTCAAGATACCAAATGCATTCCATAATTACCTTGTATAATTATCACTATATTAACACTATCTTATATATTAAGCTTGAATAAATTTTATTTCCAGCAGTATGACTTTTGTATGATAAATGAATGAAACACGTATAAAAAATGAACAGTATATTATACACTTAGTTATAATGCATTTCACACCAATTATGTTTCATATCAAAACAAAACATGAGTCATAACGTCAAAATAAAATTAAAATTTTATACTGTCTAAACAAATAAATAATCATTTTTTTGCATATGATAATTTGAACATGTCGTCCTGTTGTGGCCAACTTGACGACATCTACTGCAAGTAACTCTAGACCGTTTGAATTTCTTATCAGCAAACCCCTTCCAACGTTCAAGTTACGGTCTTTCTATCGTTCTTTTTGGACCGAGCGACATCAATTTAGGCTCGGAAACATAACTTGGTATATCCCATGTACTCTCGCATGGGAGAGGTTCAACCATCTATCATAAGCTGTGATGTTATCACACTTACTAGACCACTATAAAGACTAGAAGATTCATATATAATCCCCTCCATCTGAAAATCAACATATTTCTCTGTTTCATTAAAAAAAAAAACAATTAGTCATCCAAAGAACATACAAATTTCATCCACAAAATTCATTATAATAACAACAAAATCATACACACTTGTCATTATCTTTTCATACAAATATCATTCAGACAGTACATTACAAAACACTTTTTAAAAAAAAATAATATTTCACATTTCATACCCACTTAATACATATTTCATATAAACAATCATCACTCATACCAAATTTATACACAATTGACAAAACTTATATAAACAATAAAATTTCAAATTTTATACCAACTTTAAAAGCTTTTCATACATTTCTTCAAAATTCTAAATAACTTTTTTTAAACATTATTGAACACGCTTTCATACCAAATTCATTCCATTTATACTACCAAATTCATTCAAAACTATACATTTAATTTATATTTTCAGGAAAAAAAAACAGTATTCAATATTATAATCTTAATCTACGAACCCAATCTACAACGATAAACATATTTAAATGCTATACATTTATGCTCAAATCATTCATATATTGAGCTAATTTTTCACTAAATCAACTTTTTAACATTATACAAAATAACCAAAAAAAAAAAAAAAAAACTTACCAACACAATCACTAATATTACAGTTTCACAACAATTAATACGTATTATGAACAAAATGTTTTGTTTAGATAAAAAAAATTAAAAAATTAACTATAGTGACGATTTACATAAACAAAATCACATAATGTGATTTACAGTTTCATTATTGTTGTTTTTTTTTTTTTTTCATTTCACTGAAATACAAAAACAAATTATAAACAATAACAAATACTAACTTGAAGGAACCCATTTTTTCACCATATTTAATTAATATTGATACGTAGTCGTCCATCACAACAAAATCAAGAATTTTCAAACAAAAAAAACCTCAATTAGTCAACAGTGACAAGATTTCTGGAAGAAAATCTAAGAGAGAGAAACGTGGGAGAAAAATGAATAAAATCAGAATTTTTAATTAAATTTAACAAATTAGAGTGAATTAAGAAAGCTGAATATTCTTAATTAGTTTGAATTTCCTTAATTCATGCTAATTAATAATTAGCTTCAATCATTTCAAATCTAATTAACACCCCTATTTCTGTTTTTTACCCTTTTTTAATTCCAGAAATGTTTTTATTTTTATTTTTTTATCTTTTTATTTTTTTCAAAACAAATGTTTTCAATTATTAAAAACAACTTTTTGTTTTAATAAAATGTTAGAACCTGAAATTTTTAATGTTACAACTTGAAAGTTTAATTCTACTGTTATAACTTGAAAATATTAGTCTAATATATGTCATATATTAAATTTTCACAATCCTATATTCTCCAATAATCATGATTTGGAATTTTTCAAATACGTAAATTGATCCATAAGTTTATAATTTGTTAAAACAATCCCATATTTATATCTACTAGCCATTTATTTCATATGTTAAATAAAATTTATAATCATATCATTACTTTTTAAAATTTATTATTCTCACCAACATAAAATTTATTACTACTTTAAATCAATTCCTACTTTATCATTCATATTCGTCAAATTCATTATCTTTTAACAAATTTACTTATCAACCAAATTTATTACTACTACTTTAATGTTTAAGAAAAAAAAATATTTTTCATCTATATTGAGTGAACAAGACGGACCACAATGACTTTGTAATAATTTATTATGCGATTCTATAAATTTTTGTTTATTTGGTAAGATTTAATAAATAATTGAGACTATTGTAATAGTTTTACAATTTATGATATTCTTATGTTTTAAAAAAAAATATACAACAGAAAAACTTCAAATCATATGTCTAACCAAAACTTTAACTTCATTTCATAATTTCATATCAACTTACTATAAAAAGTTGTAAATTAGCTGACATAAGCATTTACTAGAGGTCAAGTATATAACAATTGTTACACAAAAGTAATTAAATGTCATTTTTATTTAACTCTAATTTGCATTTTGATAAGTATAAAATTTTGGGAGTTTTGTTTCTTTTATCCAACGTACAATCAATTTGATTTCACTTCCCAAAAAGTTATTCACAATTAATTAAAAGTTGAGTGTGATTATTATTTGAAACTATGATATCATAAATATACATCTTCTACGATGTGCGTAAAAAAAGTTCTACAATCAAATATTTATCCAATCTGAGTACAACTGCAAGTGCACACTTACATGAAGCTTCAGTTGCAACAATCCCAACAACAATATGCAAGTTAGTATAATTCTGTAGTGATGTTTGAATTCACTGCCACCAATATGACATCAAAAAAGGGAAATTAACCTAAAAAAAATACCAAAAAACAGACTTAAGTAAATTTGTGAGAGAGCTTTTAAGAGACTTGTTATGCCAGATGGATAGAACTAAGTAGCAGAAAAGATAATTGATTATTCTGTAAAACAAACTACACGCTTAGAATTTTTAAATCTACTTAACAAAAACAACTTCTGCTGAGATTTCCATGTTTGGCATTCTATGGAGGTTTGAATTTGCTGCCACCAACATGACATAAGAAGAGGGAGAACTAAAGGTCATTAGAAATTACGACATCAGAGATACAAAAAATAGAGACCAAGTAAATGCTTCATTATAAGCTAATAAAGTCATTAAGTCCTGCGACATAGATCCAACTTTAAGACAAGTACATTATGAGGGGCTTAAAGAGTGTTAATGCCAGATTGTAACACAATGAAATGAATGAGCAATTACAACAAGCTTCAACATGTAATCTGAGCCTAAAGATTAACGTGACTTACCTGTTCTATTTTACTTTGAAGCATCGTTCTATTCTACTTTGAAGCAACGATGCTTGTGACGGTCAAATGAAAAAGCACAGTAACCAAATCATAAGTTAGACAACGTACAAGATCCAATTAAATCATTTTACAAGACAAAACATGAAAGATAGTCAACAAACAAAACAATAATCTATACTGAATTAAGAATTTATTTATTATGTTGTTTTGTTCAATTAATTCATATTTTGTAACTGTGTAAATAACTAATGATTTTTTTATATTTGAAACAGAAGACAACAGACATGTAGCAACCAAGGCTGCCCCGGCATCCCAGCCTGCATCAATGAAAAAGAAGGGCAAAAGAAGGCCAGAAAGATGATTTAGGAAAGAAATTGAAGAGTTTTTTTTATCACTTTTGGATCATGATAGAATCAAGGTAAATAAGAGGTCTAAAACAGTTTAATTTTTTGGATAATTAACCTATCACTTCAAAGTTTAAGATATTGGTTTGATAGTTTAAGATATTGGTTTGATAAATCTTTAGTATTTGAGTCTTTGGATGTGTGGTCTGGTGCTTGTTGAGCTGTGATGGAATTCTGCATTATTGCTATGATGCCATAGTTCCCATGCTCGTGAATGCTCTGAATAGTTGAAGTGTCTTACCAAATTATTCATGTCTTCTCGTTCACTATTAAGCGCCTTTATGTTCATAAAGACAAATTAGAGCGTCTCTCTTTTACATTTATGTTTAGTTAATATCCTTAGATTAGCTTTTATAAAATCATATAAGTAGAAATATATTCCAATATAATGTTATTCTTAATAGTGAACTAGAAAGACATGAAAATGAATAATTTTATATATTTCTATATATGGCACTTCACTTTTCAAAATGCTTATTTTAGAAAAGTACGGTGTTTGATCAAACTTTTGAAAGGAAATAAATGCTTCTGTAGAGAGAAAAATACACTTTAGAAGCATTAGGAAAAAAATCGTCAAAAACTAATTGCTATTCAAAAGTAATTTTAAAATTAATTAACCAAACACAAACAACTTTTCACCAAAAAACAAAAACCTTGATTTTAGAAACTTGACGGAACAAATTATTATTTTCTACTTCAATATATATGGCTACTTCACTACTATATAAACTACTGAGCCGATGATTATCAGAAACAATCTATCAACCATTCATTCACAAGGTAGGAGTAAGACTACGTACCGTTAAGTTGAGGTTGATGTACAACCTACATTCCTCCCTGCAACACAAGATATCAACAGAACACATAGATATAACGAACATGCAAGATTTAACAACAAACATGCAAGATTGAACAAGAAGTACAAGTCTGTACAACTTAATGTTTTACAGATTTAAGGTTGAGGTTCAGCAGGTAAATGTTTTCGAGAGATGGACTGCTGCGCAAAGTATATACAAGTTTATAATACAGTTTCAGCAACAACTCCACATCTCGGAGGTTTAAATATTATATGGCAACATTAGCCGCCTCCTGTAGTCACCACTTCCTTGTCCTTCTTCTCAGTAGACAAGGCTGCAGATTTGCAGATCGCGCAGCTGTTCTTCACACCCAGCCATTTCTTCACGCATTCCTCGTGGTACTCATGGCTACAATTGAGAATGCCGATCTTCTCCCCATCCTTGAAGTCAGCCTGCAATAACGCGTGTAAATATGAAGTCATTAGAGCTATCTCAAAGAAACAAAAAATAAGATGCAAAGTTCAAAGAAGAAAGAAAATCACAACATAGAGGCCGAGGTGAGATTGTGCGTGATAAGGAAACCTTATAAAGATTCATGACAATGTTTTGATGAATTTAAGACTTGGGAAGAAAATGGAAATATAAACATTACGTAGAGTGTAAGTCAGCGAAGGAGTAATACCTGGCATATTACACAGACAGTTTTCTGGTCTTGATCAGATGCAACATTTTCCAGAGGGCTAGGAGTCTCGGTAGACAAAAATATTCTCGTTTTCAAATTGGCAACGATGATATCCTCGGACAAACCAATTGACACATTGCCAATTCGCTCCTCCAATGCAAGAAGCTCCTGGATAGATATTTGATATTGCAGGATAAGTTTGCCGAAAATATCAAACATGCAAATATGAAATAACCTACAATTGCACTTACCTCATACGTCATGCGATCCACATCCAATCGCATATCTCTGTGCTGATCAACAACATGCACTCCACGAAATCTTGGAACACCCAGCATTGATACTCCCTAGTAAAATCACAAAGAAAGAGATACGACATCCAATCCCATTACTTCAACTGCACAAAACTGCACTACGATAAAGATAGCAAGAAGAACTATTCAAATGCAATAAATTTTACATCTTGTGGCAAAACTCTTACATTACGGAGGTTGTGGTGGCTAGCATTTGTTCCACGCATCATGAATTCCCTTTGATGAGGTCTGTACATTCTAAAGCCAGACGGAAGCAAGGGTCCCATATTGGACGAACTAAGTTGTAGTTGTCTGCCTGGAGATGCTGTCATCTGAGGATAGGAGCTCATTGTGTGGCCTGCCATAGTTTGCATATTAGGTGACAGATGATGATGGTACTGCGGTGGTCCTTGAGGAATGGGTGGATACATGAAACCAGTCAAACCCCCGTTGCTGGAAGGTACTTGATAACCTCGCATAGCCATGTTTCCAGCACCTATTACATAGCCTCCGGCACCAGCTAAAGTAAATAGAAAGAAGCAGAAGAAAGATGCAATCAGTTAATATGTTATCCTGACACTTAGAATAAAAATCACAAATTGCTGTTGCTAATTTGAGGAAAGAGAAAAACAAAGGCTTTCCTGGATTATTAGAAAATGAAATGAAATAACCATTAGGTTATAAACATGGAAAAAAAGAGACGTATGCCACATAAAATGTGAAGATGCAAAAGGAAAGAATAAGACGTGTTTCAAGTGGATTGTCGCTTTTAAATTTGTTAGAAGAAAGGACAGCTGACATATGCATTGCTCAACTTGGCAGCATGCTAATAGCTCATAAGAAAACAAAATTTAGAAGAACAAAAAGATTAAGTAAGCTAAATAGACACTCAAAAGTCATAAATGTAAATTAAAACAAGAAGAGTAGTTACCGGGAGGATAGGTTAAAGGAGCAGCCTGTCTCCAGGCCCAAGATTGAGCTGCACTACCGCTACTATTGAAAGGCATGTTCAGCCAAGAATTGCCAGGAAACTGATAGGCTTGGCCTACATAGTTTCCTTGAAGCAGATGATTATTGTTATTTTGCAATACAGTATCTGGACCACTAGCAAATCTGCTCCCACTTCTCTGTACTCCATTTTCAAGGAGTGGTGCTGAGTCACTCCTACCATGCTCGCGTGATACAGAATCATCTGTAGTGCCTGAGACTGGAAGCCCATCACGTAACCCATGATTTGCTAGAACTGGCGAATCCATAGTTGCAGATGCAGCACCATTTTCAAGTAGTGCTGCTGAGTCACTCCCTCCATGCTCGCGTGACACAGAATCATCTGTAGTGCCTGAGACTGGAAGCCCATCACGTAACCCATGATTTGCTAGAACTGGCGAATCCATAGTTGCAGATGCAGCACCATTTTCAAGTAGTGCTGCTGAGTCACTCCCTCCATGCTCGCGTGACACAGAATCATCTGTAGTGCCTGAGACTGGAAGCCCATCACGTAACCCATGATTTGCTGGAACTGGCAAATCCATAGTTGCAGATGTAGTACCATTTTCAAGGAGTGGTGCTGAGTCACTCCCTCCATGCTCGCTTGACACAGAATCATCTGTAGTGCCTGAGACTGGAAGCCCATCACGTAACCCATGATTTGCTGGAACTGGCAAATCCATAGTTGCAGATGTAGTACCATTTTCAAGGAGTGGTGCTGAGTCACTCCCTCCATGCTCGCTTGACACAGAATCATCTGTAGTGCCTGAGACTGGAAGCCCATCACGTAACCCATGATTTGCTGGAACTGGCAAATCCATAGTTGCAGATGTAGTACCATTTTCAAGGAGTGGTGCTGAGTCACTCCCTCCATGCTCGCTTGACACAGAATCATCTGTAGTGCCTGAGACTGGAAGCCCATCACGTAACCCATGATTTGCTGGAACTGGCAAATCCATAGTTGCAGATGTAGTACCATTTTCAAGGAGTGGTGCTGAGTCACTCCCTCCATGCTCGCGTGATACAGAATCATTCGAAGAAACATCAGATTCATTTGCTGTTGTGATGACGGGAGCAGCGGAAGTACTAGGCCCTGCCAGAGCAGAATGACGCTGAAGATTTCCAGAGTTGCCTGCAACATTCTTTTGCTTAGATGACCCTCTGGTACTGTCCATACGAGGATCGTTCCTACCTAAGTTATCTGCATTATTTCCGATGCTGCCCTGAGTGCCTGAGACTGGAAGCCTATCACGTAACCCATGAATTGCTGGAACTGGAGAAGTCCTCAATGCAGCTGGAGCTGCCACATAAGGGTAAAAGTAATTTGATGGTGGTGCAAACGCTGCGCCAACATTGGTGAGATGATGCCACTGTTGAATCCCATTGGACGGTGGCATCCCATAAATTAGAGCACCCTCTTGATGGCCAGGTAGATGGGGCGCATAGAAATTACCAAGGCTTCCTGGAGCTGGCACGGTGGTGTTAACGTTTGGATGCGGAAAAGCTGTAAAGCTCCCATACGTCATACAAGGCTCTGGATAAATATACGCTTGACTCCGCTGATCTGCTCCCAAAGTCATGAAGTGATTACTGTGGGGCGTATTCCTTTCCCCCATGATATAGAGTAGAATCTTGTGGATAATATCTGTTCAGGGAAGAATAAACCGTCATGCAAAACTACATGCCAATACATACATTAACTAAGCGATCACATAAACTCAGTATCTGCCAGCTGATATGATACCAATTTAATTAAACTTAAAGTTCAATGCTAATATGTAAATTTTTCTTGGCATTCATCTCAAAAGGCACACTTCAAAAGTAACTGTAAAGTTAACAAGATCCCATTCAAAAGTTTTAGGATTATCCCCTTAAATTCAGAAGTTTACTTACGTAACACAAACCATCATAGACAAACACCATGCAACAATAGAACCCGAGTATAAATTGTTTTCTTGATATGCAGTTGTTACATTAGGTAAAGAGTAACCAAACCATGCAGAAAGAGAAGCGGGAATTAGACAAAGTGAATATGGCACGTGAATAGACAACAAGCTACTATTACGGCTCTAAGAACAGCGAGTTCACTAGCCATGAAAGGAATATCTTTAAGATGGAAAACTTTCTTGCCCTCTTTTTTTTTTACTTTAGAAAGGGGGAAGAGATAATTCAGATGTACTTCCGTTACTACTCCCATTACTCAAGCAGCAGCCGTAAGGCTTCATCAAAATGTAGCCTTGTAAAGTTCAACTGACTGACTAGACCATTTGCAGCTAGCATTAAAGATTTTCACTAATCATACCATTTTACCGAATTTTCTTAGAAACCAAAATTCTGACCTAGATACGTATCATTGACATTATTACATTGCAATGACTACAGATCATAGTCTTATCTCCAGATGAATAATATGCTCATAATCTGCAATAACTTCCCAGCTAAGCCTATATGTAACTATTTACCATCCTTCCTTTTTATAAGCACTAATGAATACTCATACCATTCTTAAACAGACAACAGAGACGATAAGAAGAAGCAATTCATGCATCTACTATTGTAAAGATATCTGTCATACAGACTACTGCAATGTACTTTTAATAAGAAAAATAGTAAAACCGGATATAGGAAACATGATTAAATAAGGGAAATAAATCTTCCCCTAAATACATGTTAACGTGACAAGACCTCCTTCCTTGAAACCTCCTAATGGACTAGATAATTGTAAACATGAAAGAGTACCCTTCGTTTATTTGATTGCCATTCAGAAAAGAAGTTGTGACAAAATTGACAACCAAGATAAACCTTCACAATTCACAGTTGTAAAAAGGTCACCTTTACTCCCTTAGCCAGTCAAAAACCAAAGACTCTTGAAGTCTACAAAAGTCCACATGACAGTGATGAGCTCAAACAAAGAAAACAGGAATGATCATAGAGAGGATATGAAACTTAGTATAAATGATTGTATAAGTGACAAGAAGAAAAAAAGCATTGGGTAGTATAGAGGTAACTATCAGGTACCAAAGTTATCTGATTTCCCTTACAGGTTAAGTCAAACTTGCCAAACGGTTAGTAAAAACTACAAAAGAGTAGAAAAAGGTCAGAACAAGTAGCATCCACATAAGGTGTGCTCCATCATTCATGGATTGATATGAAGATGTTTCAAAACTCAAAAGTCATCAGACTCAATATGAGATATACTAGATAAAGAACTTGTATCACGATGTTGAGCTAGCTGTAGTAGTTCCACACAGAGTGACTTTTAGCTGAACCTTTTATCACGGAGTTCAGCTAGCTGGACAAAGATTTGCTTTTCTTTCCTTGTTAGCTCATAGAACAAAAAGCTTTAGAAAAGTCAAGCAGATAGGAAGTTAGGTTCCTAAGGGAAATGCCTAAAGACAATCGTAACAAAGAGCAACACTTGTATTTCAAACCAGTAGTTTATAAATTCAACAAACCCTGATGACTGATGTTAACCAAGGCAAAAACAACTTCGGAAACCTTTTCTTTATAAGGCATAACCTCAAAAACTAAAAAAACAAACAAATATACACTGATCAAACATCTTTCAAAGTTCCAAGTAAAATTCAACAACCGTTAGTCAAGAAAAAAATGCCCAAAATCTTCACTCCCAAATTAGTTAGGGTTGACTCTCAAAATCCTTTTTCTTTTTCATTTTCATTCCCTTTTTTGATCAAGCAAGATCTTGATTTTTTTTTCTTAGAAACGGTGGTGTTCAATCCAGCTTGCACACACCTCGATTGTTTCACCGGTTACCTCCTACCTCCCACAAATACAGGTGATTAATCTTACCAATGCTCAGACAGATACGAAGAAACCACCAAGTGTTTTCGTCCATCATTTCACTCCATTTAGACACCATTTCATTCAAACAAAACACTTGGTATATAAATTTAAAACCTTCAAATTCTTCACTTTTTTTTCCTTCCAAAACAATCAAGAACATCCCCATTTTGAAAAATCATTCTTTTAGTATCCCCATTTAAGTAAACTCTAAAATGAACACACACAAACACTAGATATAGACATTTTTTTTTAAAAAAAAAAACTTCAAAAGATTTTTTCACCTTTTTTTTCCTTCCAAAACAATCAAGAACATCCCCATTTTGAAAAACCACTCTTCTATATCCCCATTTAAGTTAATTCCAAAATGAACACACAAAAACACTAGATATAAACATTAAAAAAAACAATCTTTAACATTTTTTCAGTGAGAATCAACATGCAACTGATATAAAAAACATTAAAAAATTCAATTCACTAATAAAAACAAAACTTTACCTTTCACAAAAAACTTCACAACAACTGGAAACACCTACAAAAACAAACAAAAAGCCCTAAATTCAAGTTAGATATAAAATGAAAACGCTGATCAATGATCATAAAAATGAACTCCAACAAAACCCCACAAAAATTTTCTTCTTCTAACCAAATGCCACACTTCCACACAGATTAATTAGCAAGAAAAAAAATTTGTAACCGACCAAAAAACACGTCTATAAGCAAAAAAAAACTGAAAATTCCGATTAAAACCATCAAAAGAAGCAGAAAAACTAACCCAAATTGAGCTTGATCAAGAATTGCAAATGAAAATGTTGCAAGTTGAACCAAGGGAGTTCAAAAGTGGCATATTTACATAGTTTCCATCCTTTACATTTTAGTCCCAATTTTCTATTCCTATTTCTTTAAGATCCTAAGTTAGTTTATTAGGGTAGTATTGTCATTTCTATTTGTCTAGGGTTTAGTTTGCATTGTATAAATACCTTGTATGTACTCATTTGGAAGATATGAATGAAATTATCCTTAGCTTAACTTAGCCTAGTTTTTACTTTAACTTAGTTTGTAGTTTGTTTCCTTCTCGACTTCCATTCTTGCATCATTTGGTATCAGAGCATCGAACCTCTGACCTGTTTTGCAATGGACATTCATAGATTTCGTTCACCATACAGTGACCCACGAGCTTCACCAGAGTTTGGGGCTGCAAATCCATGGCAAAATTATAGTGGAAATGCAACCTATCAAGCTAGCAATCCTTATGACTACTGTAATACTGGATATGGAGCTTACTATTCCGGGTGTCAACAACATTTTGATCAACAATACCATTTATACTCTTTTAATTCTAGTCTAGAACATCCTCGGCAAGCTCCGAGCTTCCAACCTGCTTCTTATCCCTACCAGCCATCGGAGTTCGCTAGGACATCCTCGAATATTTGGTATGCTGGTGTGGTTAGGAAAGAAGCTGCAGCTATGGGTTTTGGCTCTGACCCAAGGATGGTAGGAACCAACTACCGATTTGAACATCCCAATCCTGCATTGTCCTGTCAGTATCAACAGTCTCCTATCAATACGTCCACGGTTTGGCTCTCTCCCGAAGACCCTCTGATGGAGAAAGTGATTCCCACAGTTATCAACAGTAACGTCAGCTTCAGTGAAGAAGGACCAGGCAGTACTCAAGTCGTTGGGAGTTGCAATGCGGTGATTTTAGAAGCCGTGATATCACCATCTGTCGTTACTAAGGTTCACCAGCCTCTTCTCACCAACTATTATCATATCTCTAAATTTGGAGACAATGATACTATACCTTCTCAGAAGGTTCGTGTTCCTGTAACATTAAAAGTTGCAGTTCCAAACAACAAAGATAATTGCAAAATGAACTTGGATTTGGAGGTTGAATTGGGGGAGAATGGAATTGATAAGGAGGAGGAAGAGTTTTCTCGAAGTCCCTCATCCCTTGATGTGAATGCACACAAGGTGTTTGATGAAAGCTCTCTGAGAACTTGTGAAACCTATGTTGATGTGCCTTCTCAAACAATTGATGTTTCACAAAGTTTTATTGAACTAGAAACTACTACCAAGAGCATAACAGAGTCAGTAGTAATTTTTGATCAAACATCATATGACACCACTGCTACTTTTAATGGCTATCCACCTACTTATTATGAGCTTCAAGTGAAGAATCTGGAATCCAAATGCTTTTTTACTGATTTTGTTAATCCTTATCAGGTTCGTGCTCTTGAAATTCTTGCTTTCAGCAGTGACATGGTTGTATACAACAAGGAGGACAACCCTATGAAGTTAGCTTTGGTCGATAGTGTTTATCCAACAAAGGAAGGAAAGACTTGTGTGTTAAATGCTGTAAAAGAATCAAATCAGTTCCTTGTTATTAACAGCCCTTCTATTGAAGAGAAAATGGTAACAGCAGTGGAGTATTTCTTAAATTTGAGTCAACTTAAGAAAAAAGAAGAGAGGAGGAGACAAAAAGATCAATGGGAAGAAATGCCAACTTGTGATGTTGTGGGTTATTTTGACAAATTAAATTGCATCGGGAATGAAGATTCAGTTACTACTGCGAGTTTCTCTGAGGAGAAAGGCAAAATAGTTGCAGCCCTTGCAGATGAAGAGTGTGCCGAATTCCATTTGGGTCTGAAATTTGCACTTGGACTATTCATCAGATGCAACATCCCTACTACAGGAGAATGTCCAGCTGCTTTCGAGAAGCATTTTACGACATATAGAGGTTGCTCATTTTTGAAAATCCGAATTAGGTACTTGGGGAGATCTTCTATATCGCAAGAGATGTTGCTTAGGGGTTATCCATTACAAAAGAAGATTGAGTTTCCAATGTCGAGCAACAACTTCTCATTTTCTCTAGTTAACTGTTGCAGCGCTTTATTGCTAAGTGGGGTAGATACTAATTCAGCTTTAGCTCATGCTGCAGCTACTGTAATAAAGAGACCTGAAGCTATACATGTGCCAGGAAGCGCGAAGGTTAGTGCAATTCAAGTACTTGAGAAATATTTAAAACGGCAAGGTTTTTTAATGGTTGATTGTGGTTGCGTGACTTGTTCATGGAAGTCTGTGAATTTAGATGAATCAATCGTTTCTACTAAATTAGAAAATGACAACGTTGTTATTGTTGTACTCACGGGAAAACGAAACCTCGAGGAGTATGTTCAATTCTCGAGGAGAGCAAACTTCCCTGCTTCACTTCCTTTGACATTTGCTGATGCTCTTACCAACATTGTTGACCAAATTGAGATTAGAGCTCATATATTTGGTGATTGTTTACATTTTCCATTTGATCCAGGTGACTGTTTTCACTTATGCTCGTGTTTGTTAAGATGCTTCCTTGAGGTCAAGGAAGTTTTGAAGGAGGGAGTACTGATACGATTTGGAAATAGAGCACTTGTTGGTCAGATTATTTCATGGAATTTTCCTATTTTCATGGCTCTTTCTATATACTACAACACCATTTTAAACATCTTGGGTATTGGAAAATCAAGGCTTTACAATTCTTATTTTGAAAGATTGGGACAAGGTGGAATGAGTATTGCTAACAATCTGCAATGGTGGTTGACAAGGGATACCATCTCCTTACTTGCTATTTTCAGTACTCAGTTGACCACACACCTACTAGACGATCTTTTTGCTTCTTGGAGCCATTTGTATCATCCCTTGGATATCATTTTCTCTCAAGATCACAGTCACAATGGCTGCTCACTCAAAGAGAAGAAATATAGTTGCCTAGTTGACTGGAAGGGTAAATTGAGGGAACTAAACTATAGTCTAAAATTCATAAACAAGTTGGGCAATGCTATTATTGTGGATAGGGATCAAATTCAGTTGGTAAGTATATTACATGGTGGTAATATTGCATCAGATGCCTTAATTCAATTTTGGCATGGTCTTGCAATGAAAATGATACTAGAATTAAAAGATGGACTACTACAACTTGGCAGCATTTTGAGGCTTAATTGTTGCACTTTCAGTTTTCAATGTTGTCTCTTTTACATGGTTCATTCTACATGTCCTTGGAGAAACTATACACGAGTCATCCATTCTCTCGGTAGTTGGCAAGGCTCCAGGAAAACAGGGTAGAGATATGAGGAATCGACTCAATGTAATTACCTTGTTGGTTCTTAAAGCTGCTGACCGAAAGTTCACTGATATTGGGTTGAAAAATACTGCTCATGTGCTTGTCTTCTCCTTGCAGTATGACTTTGTTAAGCATGAGTTTTGGAAGCATAAATTCAAGGATGCTTACTGGAGTTCAAGTGAATTTTGGAAGACATTCACTATACCCTTCATGTTTTTAACCTTGAGGACAAGGTTTATTTTAAGGGGGAAGGAATGTTGCAAGTTGAACCAAGGGAGTTCAAAAGTGGCATATTTACATAGTTTCCATCCTTTACATTTTAGTCCCAATTTTCTATTCCTATTTCTTTAAGATCCTAAGTTAGTTTATTAGGGTAGTATTGTCATTTCTATTTGTCTAGGGTTTAGTTTGCATTGTATAAATACCTTGTATGTACTCATTTGGGGAGAGGAATGAAATTATCTTTAGCTTAACTTAGCCTAGTTCTTACTTTAACTTAGTTTGTAGTTTGTTTCCTTCTCGACTTCCATTCTTGCATCAGAAAACTAGAGAGAGAAATAGTTGATTACCTCAAAAAAAACTGAAGCATTAACACATGTTTTTTGCTCTTATGAAAAAACTATGAACTCACTGGTATTGTTTTTCCTGTGTATTTTTCCTGGAGTTAACTGCAACGTGGCTAATTCATTTTGTCATTATTTACCTTATTTATCTCTTAATTACTACTCTCACCCCTCAACTACTTAAAAATAATTAACTTAAATGTATATTTACTTTGTTTTGAACGAGATTAGTACAAAATAATTACAAACATATCCATTGGAAATACAAAATAGTCCTTTCATTTTAATGAAAAACTCAAAATCGCACGTTAAGTATGCGATAGAACAGTTCTAGTCCTACTACTCGAATCTCGTTGGTATCGAAAAGTATTGGAAAATATAAAATAGTCCCTTGAGTTTTGAGAAAAGTTTTAAATTGCCAGTCAAATATAGGATAGAACAATTATGGTCCTTCTAAACGAAGCTCGTTGGTATCGAAAAGTATTAGAAAATACAAAATAGTCCCTTAAGTTTGAAAAAAAGTTTAAAATCGCTCGTTAAATATATGATAGAACAATTATGGTCCTCCTAAACGAACCTCGTTGATATTGAATACTATTAGAAAATACAAAATAGTCCATTAAGTTTGAAGAAAAAAATAAATGATTGTTATATACAAGATAGAACAATTATAGTCCTCTTACTCGAATCTCGTTGGTATCGAAAATTATTAAAAAACTATAAAATAGTCCATTAAGTTTGAAGAAGTATTTAAAATCGCCCGCTAAATATATGTTAGAACAATTATTGTCCTCCTACGCTAACATTGTTGGTATCGAAGATTATTAGAAAATATAAAATAGTCCATTAATTAAGTTTGAAGAAATATTTAAAATCGCCTGTAAAATATATGATAGAACAATTATAGTCTTCCTACACAAACCTTGTTGGTATCGAATATTATTAGAAGATACAAAAAATCCCCTTATGTTTGAAGAAATGTTAAAAAGCGTCTGTTAAATCTACGATAGAACAATTATAGTCCTCCTACATGAACATCGTTGGTATTGAAGATTATTAGAAAATACAAAATAGTCCCTTAAGTTTGAAGAAAAAAATAAAATCGTCCGTTAAATATACGATAAAACAATTATAGTCATCCTACATGAACCTCGTTGGTATCAAATATTATTAGGAAATACAAAATAGTCCCTTAAGTTTGAAGAATAATTTAAAATCTCCCATTAAATATACTATAGAACAATTATAGTCCTCCTACACGAACCTCGTTGGTATCGAATATTATTAGGAAATACAAAATAGTCCCTTTAGTTTGAAGAAAAATTAAAATTCACCCGTTAAATATACGATAGAACAATTATAGTCCTCCTATATGAACCTCGTTGGTTTAAAAAATTATTAAAAGAAACTCAAAATAATCCCTAGCTCAAGTTTGGACGTAAACTCAAAATTGTCCCTAAAAAATACGGTGAAACACTTATAGTCCTCATACTACACATCGTTGATATTGATATTTTTTTAAAATCCAAAAATAGTCTCTCAAGTTTGAAACTCAAAATCGTCCCTTAAATATATGGTGGTACACTTATAGTCCTCTTATTCAGTGCATCGTTAGTATCAATGGTCAAATATTCCCTTAAATTGTGCGAAAATGTCTAGATATACCCCCGTTTGAAGTTTGGTTCGTTTGTGCCCTCGTCGTCCAACTTTTCGCGCATATATGCCCTTGTAGACGTTGGTTGCTTTGCTGGAAATAACCAATTCATTTTTCCTTTCTTTAAATAACAAATGGAATTGTCACATCCCCTTTTAATTACCACGTGGCATTTATTTATATTTAAAAAATGAATACACCTCTTTTAAATAGAATATCCGACCCAAGGTGGTCGGAGTTTGAATTCCTCCGTCCAGATCTAAAATGAGATAACATTTGACATCTAAAACGCAGTTGTTTTAGGGTCGTTTGCTAGTTGTCTTGCTAGACCAATGAAGTGTGCGGGTTGGTGTTTTGTCAGCTACCTTGGGGGTAGTGTTTTGGAGCTCGTGGTGGTCGGAGCTATTTGGTAGTTGTTTGTCCGAGGTTGTGCGAATCAGTGAGCTCATTGGAGCTCTATTGTTTGCTCATGGTTAGAGCTCAAAGCTCGCCTTTAATGGTGTTTTTCTTTTAGGAGAAAGTGATAGGTTTGGTAGGAGATGGCGTTTCTCCGACCAAAGGGATTTGGGTCAAATATGATTTGTCGGCTTATGTGAATATCCACCAAAGAAATTTGAGTCAGATAGGATTTACGGGTCGGATATCCTATTTAAAAGAGGTGTATTCATATCATTTTTTTATTTTTATTTTTTTCCTGAAAAAATTCATTTTTAAATATAAATAAATGATATGTGGCAATTTCATTTGCTATTTAAAGAAAAGAAAAATGAGTTGGTTATTTCCAGCAAAGCAAATAACGTCTACAAGGGCATATATGCGCGAAAAGTTGGACGGCGAGGGCACAAATGAGCCAAACTTCAAACGGGGGGTTTATCTAGATATTTTTGAATAGTTTAGGGGCATATTTGACCCTTTTTCCTTTATTTAAAAAGCTTAAAATAGTCCCTTAGTTTAGACATAAACTCAAATTGCCCACAAATATATGATACAATACTTATAGTCCTTCTATACAAACATCATTAGTATCGACAATTATTAAAAAAATACAAACTAGTCCTTTAAGATTATTAGAAAATCCAAAATAATCCCTTAGGTTTGAACAAAAGTCTAAAATCGCCCATTAAATATATGATAGAACCATTATACTTATAGTCCTCCTACATAAACATCATTAGTATCAAAGATTATTGTTTACCTCAAGTTTGGGCATTAACTCAAAATCGTCCCTCAAGTATTTGGCAGCACACTAATAATCCTCTGACTAATCATCATTAATATCAATGATTTTTAAGAAAGCTAAAAATAATCTCGTGAATTTGAACATAAACACAAAATCATTCCCAGATAAATGATGGAACACTTATAATCACCCTACTAGGGACATCATTAATATCGGTGATTATAAAAAAAAACTTAAAATAGTCCTTTAAGTTTGGATATAAACTAAAATTATCCCTTAAATATATGAGTACACAAATAGTCTTCCTACTCAGTACATCGTTACTATTGATTATTAATTTAAAAACCTAAAACAGTCCGTTAAGTGTGAACATAAACTCATAATTGTCTCTTAACTATATGGTAGAATATAGTTCTCCTACTCAATATTTTCAATATTAAGTTTGGATATAGACTCACAATTGTTCTTTAAATATACGATGGAACACTTATAATTCTCTTATTCAACACATTAATTATATTGTCGATTGTTGATTATTTTAAAAAATCCTTATATATGTCTATTTACATTTTTCAATTCACTAAAATATACGAGGAATCTTAAGTAATGTTTAAAGTTTTTGTATTCTTTAATCTTTTTAGTATTCATAGAAGGAAGAAAAGAAAATGTTTTAATTTCTGTTTTATATTTTCTAATTCAGTTGAATATAAGAGGGAATCTTAAAATAATATTTATAATAGGTCGATTAAAATATGTAAGAAGAAATCAAGATTTGGGTCCATATTTGTTTTTAGTTTTTAGTTATCGCTTTTATAGAAGATTATTGTGGTACAAATAACATATTCTTACAAGATCTGTATTAATCAAAGGTTTAGTTTTTTTTTGTCTTAATATTCTTAAGTTATTTTAGGTACTTTTATTATTATTTCCGGTATCGGCTCCTAATCGATTTTTATTTATCTTTAAAATAGGTGAACTAATACTAGGGATGGACATGGTATGATATGGTACGGTATTAAAAAATTGATTTGGTAATCTTGCCGTTTTAAAAATACTATACCATTACAATATCAAATTAATTTGGTACAGTTCAAACCCATTAAGTTCGATTTTGATTCTTACATTAGTAAATCAGTAGCTATAATTTGTTTGACTATGACTTATATAAACTCATATGATAGAAAATTATCATTTTGACTTTTTCAAAAAAAATAATCTCAATTATACCATACTTGAAGAAAATGACAATTGAAACAAGTTATTCTTCGTAAATTTGATGTTAAAATTCATGTCTCACAAGTTGATGTAGTGAGAAGTATACACAAACGTATTCCTAGCAGATCACAATTCTAACTTATTAGAGTCTAATAAATTATAAATTAATATTGGCGATTTGTCGTAAGGAAGGATTAAATTTGATAACCATAGCTCTTTGGACAACTTTTTTATACGAAGTGATAATCAAGCTCAACATGCTTCATACGGGCATGTAACATGGGAGGGATAAGGGTCTGAAAAATATCCCAATTTTGATCGAATTTGTTGTTGTGATACTACACTTTCATGAGGACATATTGCCTCCCTAGACTATTTAATACCATATTTTAAACATATATATTTGTCCACGTGGACAATAAAAAATAATGACAAAATTATAAATAGTAATGTGTCCACGTGGGCACATATATAACTTTAAAATACACTATTAACTAGTTCAGGGGGTAAAAAATACGGTATTAAATAGTCTAGGGAGGTAATAGGTCCTCATGAAAATTTAGTATCGCAACAGCAAATTTGATCAAAATTGGGGTATTTTTCAGACCTTTATGGACCGCTAAATAATTAATTTTTGTATTATTATTATTTTATATATTTTCTAATATTATAACAAGATGTGTATATAATTATATATATAATTCTATACTTCTATATGATTTCAGTATTTTCTTTTATAAATATCGAATATCAAAATTTTAAAAATACATATCAAATATTATAATATCGAAATTGAAGCATATTTTTTTTTAATTTCAATGTGGTATTTGGTATCTATCATATCATGCTAATGTCTAACTGATGTGACATATCTAAAAGAAGGTATCATGGTGCATTCTATTTGCAGACACAAAGTATACGTTGATGAGATATGGACAAAATTAACTATTTTTAAAGTATAAAACGTTTAGATTGAACGTGACTAAAATAGAGTACCACATGTAAGTGCAATAATGTTACTTACGAGATAAACATGAAAGTAAGTTATCTC